ATTCCACACTTTCTCCCTATTTCAAAAGTTCTCAAAGCAGCTAAGTGACTGACATTCCACTGATGATACCGTGCGATCCTTTTTTTACGAAGTTATTATGAAAAATCAGTAATGTCAGAGAATTTATTAAGCTTCGATGAGTCGTTCAATTATACGCTGATGATCGTTTCAAAACAAAACGGCTTGTATTCGTAAATTGTTGAATGGAAATTTGCGAGAAAACAGCAGTGAAGTAAGAGGATGTGATCGAGAAGATATGAAATGAAGAACCTTTTTCACACTTCGAATTCACATTAATATGTGTTGATAGACAATGACAACTCGGTGGATCGGTGTTCCCCTTACAGTACGCACCAATCATACAATCTGTATTCACCGAACACTGTGCACCAACTTCAGTCTGCTTATTCACTTCATACTGAAGTTTCACTGGTTCTGGTTTGGGAGTGAATTGTTGTGGATCGTTCGGGAACGTGAACAGATATTGAGGAGTCTGTTCGGTCGTTGGCTGTGTTGTAGCCGTCGCAACTGAAACGTTCAACTCAGATTGGCTCGATACTGCAGCATTTTACATGGAAGGAAGCTTAATGTTTTCATGAAGAGCCATCTTGTCGTTAGAAGTGTGCTATTATAAAAGCACTTGCTACAATTACTAATGGTGAAAACATTGGGATACCTGAGACGCACGAATCTCGTTGATACTCTGTTCCAGGGGGGCATACGCAAACTGGTATTGAGGGATTACAAACAGAGCCCCTCGTACAAATTTCACCGTTTGCACATTGCTCACCAGGACCTTTAATTCACTCACATCATCAAGCGGATACGTAAAAACAACACTGAGTCCATATGAAAATGAACTCGTAGCCAATATTTAGCAAAGCGACGCAACATTTCACCACAAAACAATTAATCACGCAATAATTTTTTGCGATCCAATTCAGTAACGCTCTTCTTGCAGATCACAAGGATGAAGATGTGAAATAACTGATAAGCGCATGAAACTTACCAACTTCTCTTACCGTCATACCATTGAATACACAAACGCCGTTTTGTTCCACATACGGTTCAGCACAAACACAACGGCCGTTTAAACACACTGAATTATCATCACATTCGAGATTCTGCCCGCACACTGAACCCACACTCACTGAATTCAATCAGTATGGTTTTTACTTTATCGTACGAACTTCCACTAACAACGATTTCTGCTAACATGAAAACTACGGAAACAGAATCTTTAAGGTAAGAGGAAATCGGTTCTCATTGTTGTTAATAAAAGTTGATGAAGAGCCATCTTGAAGGTGTGATGTTATAATTTGTTGAATTGAGATAGACGATGAGAAAAAGATTATTTCTGGTTGGGTAAGTTGTTGAAGTGATAGCTGATAGCTATTCAAGTTCACCAGTACAGAGTTTGGTGGTATAAATTTACTGTTAACGAGAGTGGAAATAAATGAGACGGTGACTTCGAAGAGATTCGAGAAGCACAAAGAATAAGTTCACGATGTTCAAAGGTTATTTTTTGCTGAGTAGTGCAACTAGCATTGTGCAATGTCAAGAATTTGTGTCAACAGGAACCTCTGAAGGCAAATTGCTTCGCTGAAGGTTGAACGCATTGTCCGTGAAAGTCTTCCAGATCACCTNACTGCTCACCATTCGCACAACTATCTCCAGGTGCAACTGAATTTGGGTTGAACACCTTAGGGTTAGTTTCGCAATCACACAAAGATTTCGTCGATGTCAGCGAGTGATGGCCAGTCTTATGAAGGTCGTGTTGATGATCAAATGACAGATCATTAAGAGTGTTTCTTAACGTCACATTAGTCACGTTAATCACACGTCAAGAGTGTTTTTCTGTGAACATTCCATTGAAAATGAAAGATAATCAATCACGAGAAATTCACAGAAACAAGTGACCTAAACACGAAATGAAGGTAATGAAATTGGAATTGATCAATGCTAACCAATGCGTATCAAAGAAAATATTGGTAAATGAAATGGATTATTAATATGAAATGAATGGCTAATGCCTCGCAAGCTTGATGAAAGTGAAGTTGTCAAAAGGGCAAATGCAACGCTTATTAAAATGAAAAACTTTTGCAAACAAAAAAGAGTACATTAGTGGAAACGAAAGAGCAAAGAACAAAATGTGAGCTATTACAATTAATAATGCAATGAATGTGAATATTTGACTGCTTTAACAAGTTGTTTGTTTGCATAAGCAACGATGATGATGACCTTATGAAGTGGATGCATAACAATTGAATTTCAATCAAACCCAACGTAAATTCATTACGTTTATAATGTTTGGTATACTATGATTTATGATTATGATCACTTCTTTACATCATTCGTTGTATCTATTGACACCTTTTTTGAGCTGGGGAAAGAGTTATGGAAAAGACTGAGAGAAGTTGTTGAATATGGAACAGTGATTGAACTGCATGAAGAATTAACTATTTGCGCATAAATGGATTGAGAAAACCTAACGAACGGTCCTTTCGATAAGCAATAAACGATTACCAATTTTGGATTGTTGAACTGGGTTCGGCTCGACTGGAGATTGTGGAACGATATAAACGGGCTGTTCCGCATTAACGTTGGATTGTGGTGGTGGAATGACGACTGATGGTGACGGCGTCGTAGTTTGGAAGGATGCATAAACAAACTCAGGTGGCTAAAGTATTAGGAGGAATAAGATGGAAAGTTTCATTGAAAGTATCACACGTAATGATTGAATTACTTCGTTCAGTGCGATTCTCCGAAAGCAGCTACCAAAACAATGATAGATATTCTGTATCAATGAAACACAGTGTTAATGTGAATACCATTTGAGTGTTCGGCTGGAAGGGTTGTTGTGTATGGTTTATACAAGAGAGGGTTGCGTAATCGG